TATATATATATATATATATCATTCTAGTATATCATCAATGTAGTATATATATATACTAGATTTATTTTTAAAAATTTAATTTTTTGATCGGAATTGGGCGATTTTTTACCGGAAATGATCAATTTATCAGTTTAATTCCAAATTTCGACCGGATTTAGCCAATTTTTGTACCGAAATTGACAGATTTTTTAACCGGAAATGGTCCATTTTTCAGTATAACTTCCAAATTTGGATCGGATTTAGTCGATTTTTTGATCGGAATTGGCCGATTTTTGAACCGGAAATAACCCATTTTTTAATTTAATCTCCAAATTTGGACTGGAATTCGCCGATTTTGGAAGGGAATTGGACAATTTTTGACCTGGAAATACCTTATTTTTCAGTTTAAAGTCCAAATTTGGATTGGAATTAGTCGAATTTTAAACAGGAAGCGGCCTATTTTTGGACCTGAAGTGATTCTTTTTTCAGTTTATAGTTCAAGGTTGGATCGGAAAAGACTGATTTTTTGTTCGGAAGTAGCCCTATTTTCCGTTTAAAGTTCGGCCACCTCCGGAGACCTTGGCATAGGGATGGTCTCTCGGAGATAAGTCCGGAGACTTAAGGGCGGGAGTGTCCTCTCGGGGGTAATTCCGACTACTCCCGGGAGCCTAATGATTATACTGTCCACCTCTAGGAGTCTGGGAGTGGGGGTGATCTCTCGGGGTTAATTCCGGCCACTTCAGGCGGACTGGGGGTCGGAGGTTTCTTTTCGGGAGTAAATTCTACCACCCGCGTGGACCTGACCGCTCGTTGGTAAACCGGCCACCCCCGTGGTCTGGGGGTAAGTCCAGACACCTCCGTGGTCCTGGGGGATTGTAGTGTCCTCTTGGAGGTATGTCCGGCAACCCCCGGATGCCTGGGAATAAATCCGGCCATCCCCTGGACCTGGGGGCAGTGATGTTCTCTAAGGTGTAAGTCTTGCCACCCCCTGGGAGCGAGGATTGTTTCTAGGGAGTATATCCGGTTACCCCCGGGGGCCCAGGGTAGAATTCCGGAACCCCCGATGGTATGGGTGGCGGGGGTTGCTTCTCAAGAGTAATTGCGGTCACCTCCAGGGGCGTGGAGATAAATCCGGCCACCCTCGGTGTTCTGGAAATCGAATGGTTACTCGGAAATAAGTCCGGCCACCACCGATGGCCTGAGGGATAGGATTGGCTTTTTGGGTATTCTTTGTCACCTCTGGTGGCATGGATGTATATTCCGCAACCCCCGTGAGCATGGGAACTGGGGGTTGCCTCTCGATTGTAAGTCCGATCATCCCTGGGGGACTGGGCGGGAGTGGTTCCTCAGGTGTAAGTCCGGCCATTCCCGATGGCCTAGTGATCGGGAGTGGCATCACGGGAGTAAGTCCGGCCACTCCCTGCGACTTGAGGGTAAGTGTAGTCACATCAGTGGGCCTGGGCGGAAGAGAAATCCTCTCGGGAGTAATTTCGGGAAGCCCCGGATGCCTATGAGAAAGTTCAGCATCGGGAGCCTGGTCTTCGGGTGTGGACTTTCGGGGGTACATTTGATCACTCTCGATGGCCTAGGGGCCGCGAGTGGCATCTCGAGGGTTTGTCCGGACACCCGTATATGGTAAATCAAGTCAACCTCTGCCCAGATATGGCCTCTAAACGATAAATCCGGCCAAACTCGGCGTGGATATGGCCTGAAAACGGTAAATCAGGCCAGGATATGGTCTCTAAACGGTAAATCCGGCCACTTTTGACCAATAAACCCATATTTGACCAATAAACCCATATTTGACTAATAAACCGGATATAGTCTCTAAACGGTAAAAACGATTCATGGACTGAACGGTAAATATGACTATCCTCGGCCCGTACATGACTTCTAAACGGTTAAACTGGCTACCCTCGGCTCGTATATACCCTCGGTTCTCTAAACAGTAAATCCGGCCATCCATGACCAGTTTAGGGCCTCTAAAGGATAAATTCTCGGCCCGTATATAGCCTATAAACTGTAAATCCGGCTAATTTAGGACCAGATATGGCCTCTATATGGCACTTACGATCAATATTCGACCATTTTCGACCCAGATATGGCCTCTAAACGGTAAATCTGGCAACTTTCGGCCCACATATGGTCTATGAAAGGTAAATCAGGCCACATTCAGCCCAGATGTGGCCTCTAAACCATTAATCCGACCACTTTCGGCTAATGTAGCTTCTAAACTGTAAATCAGGACTATTGGCCCATATATATCCTCTAAACGCTAACAGATCATTTTAAATCCCGTCATTTTCGACACAGATGTTGTCTTTTAACAGTAATCCTGGCCGTTTTCGGAAAAGATACGCGCTCTGAAAGTAAAATGCGATCACTTTTAGATCAGATATTGCCTATACAGTAAATCCGTCAACTTTCGGCACAGATATGGCCTCCAAACGGTAAATCCCGTCACTATCGGTCCAGATGTGGACACTAAATGGTAAACCCAGCCACTTTCAAATGCCCAAATATGGCACCTAAACAATAAAATCGATCACTTTCGGCCCAGATATATCATGTAAACGCTAAATCCAGCCACTTTTGGCCCATATATGGCTACTAAACGGTAAATTCGTACATATTCAGACAAAGTATGGTCTTTAAATCCGTCCACTTTCAGCCCAGATATGTTATCTAAACGTTAAATCCATTCACTTTCGATCGAGATATGGCCTCTAAAACTTTAAATCCGGCCACTTTCGGTCCAGTTATATACATTAAATGGAAAATCTCGTCACTTTCGGCTCATATATGTCCTCTAAACGGTAAATCTGGCAACTTTCGGCCCATATATGACCCCTAAAAGGCAAATATCATTTAGAGGTCATATCCAGGCCGACAGTGATCGTATTTACTGTTTAGAAGTCATATCTTGGACGATAGTAAACGAATTTACCGTTTAGTAGTCATATCTGGGACGAAAATAGCCGTATGTACCGTTTATAGGCTATATCTGGTCAAAAAATAGCGAATTTACCGTTTAGAGAGCATATATTGGCCAAAAATGGCTGCGTTTACCGTTTAGAGGCCACATCTGGACAGATAATGATGGGATTTACCATTTAAAGTCCATATCTGGACTTAAATGGCCGGATTGACCGTTTAGAGGTTGTATCTAGGACGAAAGTAGTCGAGTTTACCGTTTAGAGGCCATACTAGGGCCGAAATTAATCGGATTTACCGTTTAGATGCCATATCTTGCCGAACAAACTTACAATTTACAGGCCGAATATGTCTATATTTTCCATTTAAAGGCCATATATGAACCCAAAATGACAGGATTTACCGTTTAGATGCAAAATATGGGCCGAAATTTACCTGTTTTACCATTTAGAGGCCATATCTGGATCGAAAATGGACGGATTTACCGTTTAAAGGCCATATCTGGGCAGAAAATGGTCAAAATTTCCGTTTAGGTGACATATCTGGGACAAAAATGATCGAATTGACAGTTTAGAAGCAATAACCGGTCCGAAAGTGACTGGATTTACAGTTTAGAGGTCATATCTGAGACGAAAATAGATGGATTAATCGTTTAGAGGCCGTATCTGGGACGAAAGTAACCGGATATACTGTTTAGAAGATATATCTGAGCCGAAAGTAGACGGATTTACTGTTTAGATTTCATATCTGGTCCGAAAGTGGCCTGATTTACCGTTTAGAGGCCATATCTGGGCCGAAAGTTGCCGGATTTACCGTTTAGAGGACATATCTGGGCTGAAAGTGGACGGGTTTACCGTTTAGAGGACATATCTGGGCAGAAAGAGATGAGATTTACCGTTTCGCGACTATATATTCATCGATAATGGCCGGATTAACTATTTATAGGCCATATCTGGGCTGAATATGGCGGGATTTACCGTTTAGCTGCCATATATGGGCCGAAAGTGTCCGGATTTACCGTTTCGATGATCTATCTGGGCCGAAAGTGGCCGGATTTATCGTTTAGAGGCCATATCTGGGCCGATAGTGGCATGATTTACAGTAGGACATATATGGGCCGAAAGTGACGAAAGGCCTTATCTGTTCGAAAGTGGTCGGATTTACCGTTTAGAGTCTATAGCTATGATGAAAATGGATGAATTTACTGTTTAGAAGACATATCTGAGCAGAAAGTGATCTAAATTTCCGTTTATAGTTAATGGATTTACCGTTTAGTAGCCATCTGGGCCGAAAGGATATTTTAATAATATTTATTATTGAAATTATTCTTTATTAATTTTAACATATAGGTTTTATTATTTTTTTAATATATAGGTATATTTATGTTTATAGTGTGATTTTCTAATTCTATATATTCTTTAATTGGGGCTGTGCGAACTATTTCACAAACTTCATCATATGATATTAGTTTAATTATAATTTTTTTAGTTTTGATAATTTTAAGGGAAAGATATTCTTTTTTGGATTTTATGAAATGGCATGTTAATAAATAATAAATTTTCATATTTTATAGTTTAGGGGCAAGAGGGCAAAAAATAAGAAATAAGTTATAGTAAGGATTTGACTAATAAGGATATATGGATCATCAATTAATTGGGCGCCTGACCAAGTTAAGAGAATAAATGTATTAATAATTATTCAAAATATTAGTTGATTAGATAGAATTATACATGAAGGATGGGAGTAAATAGATTTAATGAGGTGAAGAGTATATAAAATTAAAATTGATATAGTAAAGGCAATTACTAAAGTTTCTTAGGGATAGACTGGAGAATAGCATAGGCAAAAAGGAAGTATCATTCAGGTTGAATATGGATATGTGTATCTAAACAATTAGCAAGGGTAAAATTATCTGGGTCTCTGAATATATAAGGTATTGAAGGATAATAAGAAGAAAAATAGATAATATAACATTAAAATCTAATAGATCTTTAAAGGTAAAGTTAGTGGAATAGGATTTTATAAAGATCTCTATTTATTTCCGTAAGATTTGAAGATCCTGTAAGATGTAGAAAAATAGATGGAAAATAGATGGAATATAAATAAAAGAATAATGAAAAGTAGAATGAAGTGAAAGGAGAAAAATCGGTTTAATGTAATTTAATAGAATTATTAATTGAAAATCCACCTCAAATTCGTATGACTAATGTATTTTCAATATAGGGGATATAAAATTAATTGATATAAGATTAGTAATTACTGCAGCTACCCAGAATGATATTTGTCCTCAAGGGAGTACATAACCAAGGAAAGCTGTAGCTATTGAAAGTAAGAAAATTGTTACACCAAATATTCAGGTATATATTAAGTTAAAAAAAAAAGAGTTGTAATAAATATTCGTCCAATGTATAGGTATATTCAGCTAAAGAAAAAAGAAGCTTCATTTATATGAATATTAGGAATGATTCAGCGATTAGAAACATTTTGAATAATATGAATGATTCTATTGAAGGCAATTGAAATATTAGGGCAGTAAAGAATTGAGAGAAAAAGTCGCCTGATGATTTGAATTAAGAGAAAAATATCAAATAAGGAAATAAAGTTTCATCAGTAGAAGATATTAATAGGTGAGGGGAGGTTAATTAGAGAGTGGTTAATTATTTTAGTAAATTTTTCATATTTTTATTTTAATAGATATAAAAAGTAAGGAAAATAACATTTTTTGAATAAATGTAGAGATATTTCATGTAATATAGGAAATTGTATTGATTTTATTACAAGATATAAAGAAGATATAAAGAAAAATATAAATTGATGATAATATTATTAAAATAATAAATTTTTTATATTTAAATTTTAAAATATAATAATTAAATAAGATA